CTCCAAAACTCCATTTAAAAGAAATGGCAAATATTTTAACAAGGCATGTTTTTCCTTTATTTGCAGAGTCCCTGGTAGTAGCAGGAACTCTGCAAATAAAAGTAGTCAGCACAGAAGTAATTTTTTCTAAACTCTAGATAGGTTTTTAGATCTCCAAATTTTTCCTGTTGAATAGGTTCTGATAGATTCATCTACTTTGCAGCCTAAAGAAATACCATAAATTTAATGTTTTCATTGTTAAAGAATTCAGTTACTAAAAAGTGTCTATTCATCATTTATCTTCTAAAATATAAGCCAGTCACATAATTTAAGGCTGAAGATTCAGTTCATATCTCAAACAGAGGCCCTATTCTTGTGTCTTACCCTTAAAACAAAGCAAAATCTCTATAGACATTTAGCCTGCTTTCAGGCACTCTTCATTTTTTCAAGTTGCTTTGCATTACAAATAGATTATTACAGACTCATGTTTCTTGAGAGACACTGCTAGTGGGTCTCTTGTTATTCCTACACACATCTACTGAGTATGCTAAGAATGCAAAGCCCTGATCACTATTTCCCAGGCCATTTTCCAGAGTTTCCAGAATCTTCAAACAATAAGGTAAAGCCTGCATTTAGACAATGAAGAAGCTTGCTTTCTGTTTGCGGTAAAAATGGTAGATTCCTCAAGTTCACGTTCTTCCCCTGAAAAAAAAAGGAATGCTATATACAGAGCATCCACCTGGGCCCACATCCATGCTAACAATACTAACATCTAAAATCTCAAACTTAACTCTTTAACACCCTTTCTAGAGAAAAGAAATACAAAGATCCAATTTGGCATGTCAGGAGAATGGTCCTTCACACCATTTCTAAAACCTAAAGGCAAATGGAAAGGGATTTCCCAACCACCACCTCTCTTTTCATCATGGTTGTGGGACCCCAGGCAGAAACTTCCAAAGGATAGTCTTTTGGCAACAAAGGGGAATCAAAGTCTTTAACCAAAGGTTTAGAAAGAGAATGTAAAGTGATATAGGGTTTGGAAGATGTTCAGAAGGAATACCTAGGACCTCCTGGCAGTATAGTCTGTACTTTTTGTTTTTGGTGGGGAAGGGTTGGGGGGTAGTACTAGGGGTTGAACCCAGAGGCACTCTACAACTCAGCTACACTCTCCACCCTTTTAATTTTAATTTTTTATGTTGAGGCAGCATCTCACCAAATTGCTGAAGCTAGCCTCAAATTTGTGAACCCCCAGCCTCAGCCTCCCAAGTCACTGGGATTACAGGCGGATGCCACTGCACCCTGTTAGTCTGTACCTCTTAATCATCTTCCCATGTAAGGTTATTTCTAATTCTTGATAATTTTCTTTCCATTGTTCAAACCTGATTTCCACTAGGAGTCTTTGTTCCACCTTAGCCCACTGTGGAATACGTATAATTTAACCAATTTTTTCTTGGTCCTTTGTCCCAACAATCCTAATAATGTAATTCAATAATCTTCAAACCAAGGCAGTAACACTTCATAAACTTTTGGGATTATGGTGGGTAGGAGGAACTAGTAAGTGCAATGCAGATTGAAACACAAACACAGTGCTTGTTTTCAAGCCTTTGGTTCAACATCTGGCAACATTCAATTGCCCTTTAGAGAAAGATAAGCATGCTCTCCTATGAAGTCAACTTTGTAGTTCCGAGATTACCATTTATTAACAAACTGCATAGAGAATTTCTAAACTGAAATGAGAGATCACGTTCATTTTTTCCATCAGGATCAGAGCCAAAAACAAACCATAATTCTTGAAAACTTAGGTGAGGTTTTGTTAAACAAAACAGATTTACCAGTAAAAGGCAGGAAGAGTGAAATTATAATTTGAACCAGGCCAACTGTTTCATAACAGAAAATGTGGCACTTAATGCAGTTTGCAGAATATGGTATGCTAAAAACGCTACTAATGGCAGTAGGAGGCCTCTAGAGAGTAAAACCAGCCAAACAAAAGAACTTAAAAGGTAGGAAAAAAGTATCCATGTCACCATTACAAAACCACAAGGTTGATTAAAACTTTTTCTCCACACTTTTGGTTTAAAAAATACAAAAAAAAAAAATATGATAAAAAAATTTTCTTTGTGAATTAGAAATTTATACTAATTCAAACTTATCCTAATTTAATGTGACTTGAGTCCAACAAGCACATATACTGTTAAGGTCAACCAACTTACAGAAGACTATATAAGCATATCAAAGTTCTCTTCTGCAGCTCCTTCTGGAAGAGATTTACTTTTGAGTTCCTGAATGTGTTGGCCAGCTGATAGGACAGACTGGTGCTTTTTTAGTTGAAATAAATAGTCAAAACCTCTACTAAAAAACTTTTGCTGAAAAGTCTTGGCTCACTTCCTGATGTACTAGCCAAGTAAAAATAAGCACAAAAACTTCAATGTAAGTTGACTAGAAAATTATTCTGATAGTCTTTAGGTCTCTAGCACTAAACACAGAGTACCTGAGTTAGTCTTTTATAATAATGTCACTTCTAATTTTTGGAAAATAATTAGAAAGCTAGCCAATAAATACTGCTAAAAACAAGCTAATACTAATAGTGTGACACTTTCTCATCTCACACATCCCCTAGTTCCTCAGTGTCAATGCAAGTTTGACAGCAAATTACTCAATAAATTTTCAGAGCCTTCTTAAGAGTACAAAAGCAGAAGAGACATGATCTTTCACATCAAAGAACTAATAAAATATGTCTGGCTAATATACCAACATATAATTAACTGAAATATGTTTCCAGATTATAAATGGGTCAGCAGCATATAATAATGATTGCCAATATTCAGATGCTCATTATTTAGATACTGAATCTAAAAGAAGAAAAAAAGACCTCCTCTGGTTTCCAACTCAGATAACTTATCTGTACTTGTTCTAGATAAGTCCTCTAGAAAAATTCTCTTATTTTCCACATGACAACCTTCACTTCTTGGAAGATTTCTCCCAAGTTACTTTCAGCCTTCTTCACGTTACTGAATCATTCCAATCCTTAAACCACTCCTCTTCCTATAACATGGTTTCCAGACACCCTCCCCTCCTAGCTCTGTTCCTCTTGATTGTCCAAGATTGGGATGTCATAAATGCATGAATACAGACTTTAACAACTATATCGTACTGTTGACCTATATATTTTAAAAGTTCTGATTAGTCTTTATCTTTTTTTTTTCTTTTCTTTCTTTTTGCAGTGCTGAGAATTGAACCCAGGGCTTCTTCACACATGCTATTTTTTATTTTATGTGCAAATTATTTTTTAAAAAATATTTTAAATGTCCTAACATATTACATAAATTAACTTCAAATATTTTCTATTGTTAAGTTTCATTTGGGTATATTATATAAGAAACATTCAAGTTCATAATTTAAAGAGTATTAAAAGGAAATTTAAAGGGATCCTTTTTAATGTTTTTTATATCCTTTTTCCTCATTCTTAACTCTAGTCTTCTCTGAAAAGCATACTCTTTTTTTATTGGTTGTACAACTTTTTGATAGTAAATACCATGGAATATTTTAGGATTTTTCTTATTACTGTTCTTTTACAATATTTTATAAATTTTCCCATACACCAAAAGAAAAAAATATAAAACAACCAGCTTCTATCATATTTTTCCAATCTTGCTTTCTTTATCCTGTGCTTACCACATGCCTACAAAATATTTTAAAATAAAACCTTGCTTTGTACTGTTCCACCTTCAACTGAAACACATCCTATACATTAGTATCTATTAAGCTGTAAGCACTGTGCTTACCTTTTTCTAGTCCTCAAAATAAACTAATAGTCAACTCTAATTCCATATTGTTCATATTCTCTATTCTATTATGACAGTAATTTGCCTATACCATGTCTTGGCATGCACTATTTTTAGTATTTACACAAACTATAGGACCCTTTTCTAGAACTTGGGTGTTCTACTCTCACTAGACAGTATTTCTTTGTTATGAGTTTTTACAATATTGCCACTTGAGATTACGTGGTTGTGTTTATGCGATAGTAGAGCAAATTCACAACTAAATGGGTAATTGACACCATGGTTAATGAATTCTGGTAGGCAGATCAGAGAGCGGTCTGATAAAAAAAAAAAAAAAAAAACAGCATATTCACTGGATTCATAAAATATTTTGTAAAAGTCCTTTAGAAGAAAGGATGAAATAGCAATATTAACAACTAGTAATATCCATTTTTATTTTAAAGAAAATATATAGGCTTTGCTTGTCAAAATTTGAGAGAATCTACTGTTAGATGATGAAACTTTGATTATATTTTAGGACCTGGATGTTCGCTCACTGTGGAATATATAACAAAATATTTCTAGTCACTTTCAAAGAAAGCAAGTTAGCTGGCAAGTGATGTAACTGGCTTTAGAGAATAACAGATCTTAGGAAACTCTGTGAAGTATAAGTTACAACAAATCCCTACAACATGCTAGAAAATATGAAGGTTTGCAAAGAAAGGAAAGTTCCAAATAATTATCAAGAGACAGAATTCCTAAGGGTAGGAATATCATTATGCAGTGCTGAAAACCCTTCAAGAAGTCTAGAGAAGCTAAATATAAAACCTGCCTTAAAAAGTTGTCCACAGACTCTTATCTGGGGAGTTGCTAAAAACATTTCAGTCAGGAAACATGAAAGAATCTGTAAAATATTAATAGATGATTAGGTGGAGGAGGTTTGAGGAATGTGATGAGAGGGTTCTAAAGTAGTAGTAAAGAAGAGGGAGGTATGCATACTTCATTTTTCATCAAATCACCTCAGTCTTTAACATTTGCCTTCATGGAAAAAAAAAATTTTTAAGAAAAAAATTTTTTTTTTCATTTAGATTCAAACATAATAAGCCTTACCCTCATTTTCTACCTAACACTAGATGTGCAATTTTTTATTTCACACAATATAACAAGCTTTTAAAAAGAGAAAAACAAGACAACAAAAGCAGAAGGTATTTCTGGACTTTAGAAATCAGGCATTAAAAAAGGATGAAGTTTTAAACTTACATCTGAAACCACACTTTTCATGGGACTTTGTAGGACAGGTTTAGTCACAGAAAGTTTTCCATTCACTGGGCTGTTCACCACAGGGGCGGGAACTACATTCACCACCTGGTTAGGTAGCTGTGTGGCTCCCCCACCCACAGCAAGGACAGGCTGAGCAGCGGGCAGAACTCCAGGTGCCTGAAGTTGTACCACAGTAGGCTGAGAGAGCAAAAGAGTCTGACCTGTGTTAGAAAAAAGAAGAGAAATCAGAGAATACATAACTATGGTGGCTGGGAAAACAGTTTAAAATCTAGGTCTTTTCTGCAGACATAATAGCTAAGATCAACACTGAGGAATTTCACACCAGCAAGTAAAACATAACCAACAGCACCATACATTCTGCTATTGTGTTTTTAATGAAACCATCCTCTTGGAGTTATCACTAATAATATACTTCCAAAATGGGTATGATGATGCACGTCTGTAGTCCCAGCACTTGAAAAGCTAAGGCAGGAGGATCCCTTGAGCCAAGGAGTTTGAGCCCAGTTTGGGCAACACAGGCCCAAAAAATATGAAGAAAATATGAAGGTTTGCAAAGAAAGGATTATTTGGAACTTTCCTTTCTTTCATCACAAAAAAAATAAATATAAAAAACAGTATTTTTCATATTTACCTTTTCAACTACATACACACCAAATTTGCTACTATATATATAGAAAGAGAGATCCTCTAAGTATTAACCTCTAAAGTGTACTAGTGCTATAAGGATTTTTCATATTATAAATAACAAATCTTTTATACTGAACACAAAGAACCATATATTTTAAATTATATGATTATAAACATATACAATACTGAAAAGCTACTGAAAAATGGAATAACAAGGACTACAAATACCAAAAAAGTTAAAACCATTTTACATGAATTCTTAGCTAATAAACACAGTAAACATAAATCTGTAATTTAAAAGTCTGTAGATAATACCAACTCTTTCAACCCCTGCCAAAAAAAAGGCCTTCAAATCTTTTCTTAGCCTTCACATTTATCAGTATTTTAAACTTGTGCTTACCTGAGAACTAGTATTTTTACCCTAAAGAAAACTTATACAACTCATAACACTGATCTATTAAAAGTTTTACTTGCCTGCTAAGTGTTTCCTTTCAGATCTGACCAATTTTATAAGGTGCTGAAAGCCTGGCCTAATATCCACAGCTGCTTGGGCCTAGCTAGCAAACTAAAGGTACTATAGCAACAAGCAACTAAATTTCCATATAAATTTATAATTCTTCTTTAAGGAAAAAAAAAAGTATTATACTTTCAGACAGTTTAACATGGCTCATAAAATTCAGCTTGGTATTTCAAAGAATTAGGAAAAACTAAAAATCAAAATAATGTTTTAGAACACCTTTTTTTTTAGAACATCTTTCTTGGTTAAAAAAGATCACTGTTATAAAATTAATGTCTTTGTTTCAGATGACCTAGAAAACACACAAAAAATAGAATTTAACTAACAGCATTTTATCCTAGATAAATTAGTAAATTAGCAAGAAAGATCTAAAAATAATTTTATAGATTTATAATATATACAGTTTATTTAAATAATTGCTAAACATTTTCATCTTCTCATTTTCTCTTGTACTCATTTCTATTATGACATAAAAACACAAACTGGGGAAATGGCCCCTAAGCAGATATAAATTTAAACATAAGACCAAGGATTAGGTTTTTAGTAATACTTAGTAAGAAATTACAATTAAAATCTACAGAAAATTCTTGCTACAGATATGGATTTGAGGATGTCTTGCAAAATGTCACAAGGCTACCAACCCTCTGACCCATACTCCAGGATCTATAGTTCACAGATTGAAAACCACTGACTTAAACCAATATTTTGAGAAGTGATGTAATGTTCCATATCCTCTTAGTTTAAAAATTATGATTAAAAAAAAAAATGCCTGCCCAAAACTTTGGGACTACTCCCAAGAAGAGAGGACAAGGGAAACAGAATTAAGTTTTTTCAAAGAAATCATCAGACTTCTAACTTCAGTTATAGATTTAAAGGATTGGCAGATAATGCATGCAGGCAGCTGTAATATTGCTTAAAATTAATTAAGAGGGCTGGGGTTGTGGCTCAAGCAGTAGCACGCTCGCCTGGCATATGTGTGGCGCTGGGTTCAATCCTCAGCACCACATACAAATAAAGATGTTGTGTCCGCCGAAAACTAAAAAATAAATATTAAATTCTCTCTCTCTCTCTCTCTCAAAAAAAAATTAATTAAGAAAAATAATCCAAGTTTATCCTGTCTTCTGTCTAGTTATCACCATCTCCTTATTGAGAGAACTGCAACTTGGAGAGAAAGAGATGGAGGATTCTCAAGGCAACGTCTGTGCAACAAATGTGGCTCAAGTTCTACCAGGGCTCCTTTTTTTGCCATGTGGTACATCAAGTCCTTTAGTCATAGAAGTTTCAACTATTCTCAAGTTATCCAGCAACTAGGACAAGGACCCCCTATATATTCCAGGCATGTTCCCATTCAGGAAAGAATGAAAGGAAATAAATTTCTACTAAAATGTGTTCAAGAACAAAAAATTCTCATGGTGACTTGCTAAATGCTGACCAGACCACAAACTACAATGCAAAGGACTGGGACTTTTAATAGCAGTGGAACATAATTACTACTGTTCCTAGTGTGGAAACAGATAAAAAGGACATACCAAAAAAACTGTTTATCCATTTTAGCATGCTCAAAATCCTCCTTGGCATTACATGCAAATCCTCTTAATGAAAGTCAGCTGGATTTGATGCTGGAGACTTCTGACAATGTATGACTCACTGATTTTGATAGTCACTTCTTCCTTTTCAACTTTCTTCACAGATTGCAAACCATGTATCAAACATTTATCAAATACCTATTCTGCCTAAAATAGAATACCTGTGTGACTATGGGTAAACAATTTGTGCCAGTTATCTCCCCTATAAAATGGAAATACATCTATCCTCAAGATAATGTACTTAAGCACTTAGAAGAGTGTCTGGCACATAGTAAGAGCTTAAAATATTATGTATACTAACACCTTTTCAGAATAACAGTTTCTCTAAAGAACACTGCATATATTATTAATTCACTAGTTCTCAAAGTAACTGTTACTTGTTTATGTAAATTTAACTCCTCAAGGGTAGGGAATTCATGAGAACAAGAACACATCTCATTCTTTTAGCAGCAATATAATGATTAATTACACAGACTAAGCCAAACCACCTGGCTCAAATTTCAGCTTCACTTCTTCTTCAAAAAAATAATCTTACTTCCATCCTGTTTAATGAATTGCAATATCACCTACCCAAAAAGCCCAAGACAGAAATACAGAAGACACTGTAGATCTTCCTCTCTATCCTTCATCCACTCCATACCATCCAGTTACCAAGGCCTACAATTCTACATTTTTTTTTTTTAGAGAGAGAGAGAGAGAGAATTTTTTAATATTTATTTTTTAGTTTTCAGTGGGCACAACATCTTTTTTTATTTTATTTTTATGTGGTGCTGAGGATCGAACCCAGCGCCCCGTGCATGCCAGGCGAGCGTGTTACCACTTGAGCCAATCCCCAGCCCCACAATTCTATACTTTTAACATATCTATTCTCCATCCTGGTTGTCATCCCTGCCCCACTTCAGTTCTAGGGATTGAACCTAGGGCCTCATGCATGCTAGAGAAGTGTTCTTTCACTGAGCAACATCCCAGCCCTAGCTGTCCATTTTCATTACATTCTAGACTTTCATATTTTTGCCCACACTACTCAAATTAGTCTTAAAGGGCATGTGCAGAACTTAGAAGCAAAAAAATGTACCAGGTTGATAGAATAGTGTGAGCCAAAAAAAAAAAAAAAAAAAAACGTACTAGGAAAACCAAGAGAATTCAAGGGACAATGACTGATTATGAGAGTCACAAGAAGGGGCTTTTAGAAAAAAGTAATATTATAATGTAATATTATAATGTAAAGTTAGAGGGGCTGGGTTGTGGCTCAGCGGTAGAGCGCTCACCTAGCACATGCAAGACCCTGGGTTCGATCCTCAGCACCAATGAAAATAAATAAATAAAATAAAGGTATTATGTCCATCTACAACTAATAAATAAATTAAAATAATATTAATAATGTAAAGTTAGAAAACTAAACAGAAGAGAAACTGTGAAAGGTTTTACATTCCACACTAGAGAATTAAGATTTAACCATATGGGAATTATGTCTTGTTTTTCAATGGTAAAATCTATTAATGCAGAAACCGATAAACTATAAAATTCCTTACCTACATTTCTTCTTCCTCCCTTCCCATTCTCAAATAAATGAAAGATATATATTTAATCTGTAAAATAATAATATCACCTCTCTATACTGTATTACAAAAACAAACAAGGTTCAGTGCCTCCTATTAACACATGGTTACAAAAAATAATCTTCAGATCATGGGAAATCATTGAAATTCTAAATAATGCGTGGTTCCAGTTTCTAGAACTAAGAAACTGTTCAGAAAAGAACAACCTGTCTTCCTGGTATAGGTAAGATCTTCTATCACTTAAACATATTCAATGGTCCAAGAACAAACTCTTAGGAATATCCCATTCTTTACACACTGTCATATTAATGCCAGACTTTTACTTTTTATAGATGTGCTCTAATAGCTTATGGGAACGATAACGAGGTTCTTTGTGAGTTTAAAATTCTTAGTCTTTGGAAAGACACAGATCCTTTTGAGATTCTAATGAAAGCTTTTGAGACTATCTCTTTAAAAACCCATATTATAAGCATATAATAAATCTTTCACTTTATTTCAAGGAGTTTATGAACATTAACACCCAGTTATAGATCACAAGAATATCTATTCTATAAGATTACTATTTTTCATATGAAAAAAAATTTGACTCTATACTGAGATGGCAGGCATTTCAGTTATTTTTGTTTTGTTTCATTTTGTTTTTTGGTAGAATCCATCTATTCTGTTTAGTTCCTTTCTTTCCATCAGTGTCTAATTATCTATGACCATGTAATAGAAGAAAGCTAACAGTGGAGCTCAAATACATTACCTTGCCTTTATTAAAATTAAGCTTCAAAAAAATGAGCTAACAACTATAAATACAACCATGAAGGCAAACGTTACATTGATGTTTATTTACAACTCATACTCAGTAACACCTACTACTACTTGGTACCAAGAAGTTAAATCCAGAGAAAATAATGTTATACAAACTTTCTCATATTCATACATATACATATCAATATATAACTAAGCTGCCTAAAAGATTGCCATAAGCAAGTGATTCCCATATGTGAGTAGCACCAAATCCTCATTGAACTTCTTTCAGTGTCTACCTAAAATTTTTGTAGAATCCCAAGTATGTGAGGCCATCTGGTGGATAAAATACAGAAATACAAATTCTTAGCTAGTTGAAGAGAATTTAGGTTTCTTCCTAATGCCCTGTTTACTAAACCATTCAGTCTCCCCAGAGATAAAGAACCAGACTCTACTGCTGAAACATACCTATATGACCAAAAATAGAATATATTACTTTAAATACCGATCACTCCTTAAAACAAAACAAAACCAAAAAAAAAAAAAAAACCCACGGCCACAAATTTTCAGAATAAAATGGCAATCTTTTATCTTAACTCCTACATTTCAAGTGGTTATATAAAACCAAACACTTTAAGCAGCCATGGATGCAAACAACTATTATCTCAGCTACTTAGGAGGAAGGAAGGAGATTTGGGAATTTAAGGCCAGCCTGAGCAACTTAGCAAAATATCTGTCTCAAAATAAAATCAAAAAGGCTAGGGATAAGCACCCCTGGGTTTAAACCTAATACTAAGGAAAAAGAAAAAAAACAAAAAAGCCTTGAAAACAGGTATCAATTAAAACTGTAAGAAAAAAGAAGTACTGGATATAATTGATCTGAAGAGCTCTCTCTGTTAGGACAAAAACCACATATTAGTCATCTCTGCAACATCGTCAGAAGCAAGGACAATTCCTGACACACCACACATGTTCAGTAATTATAACCTGATTTATATATTTAAAAAGTGACAAAATCTTTGTACTATCTTCCAAATAAACATATACAGCCTCAATTTCCACAATAGTACCTTTAGTGGGTGCAGGCTGTATACTAATAATTGGTTGCTGCTTTGCCAATGGCATAAGTGTTGGTACTGTCTGAATAATGATGGTTTTTGCTGGAACACTGGAGTTTGTTTGAGTCTTGGGTGCTGCCGGAAGTAATAAAGGTTTGGGCTGAACTGAAGGCTTTGAACCCATCTGAATTTTTTTCTTTGGAGTCAGTCCATTTTCTGGAGAAAAAACAAACCACAAATCAATCTAAGGCAATTGAGCAAGTCCTAGAAAACAGATTTTATTTAAACACTTTATACATTATCTTGACTTCTGAGTAACTATCTTGCACTGGAGTTTAAGCATACCTACCATGTACCTGAAAAGACCAAAGAAAATTCCCTAATCTGATATCCTCCTTTTTGACCAAACTGCAGTTTTGAGAAGGAACAGTAAAGGAGAATAGCTGAAATCACTGAATAAAGCTTAGAGATGAATAAGTTAATAAATGTTGTGATAAAATGACCCTCACATTCAGTATCTTTAATCAAAACTAAAAACTCTCCTGAAGATGATTAAGTCAAAGTCTATTTTAAAGTTTTTTCACCTACAAAGATATTATCAGCCAGGTGCAGTGGCCCATGTCTGTAATCCCAGTGGCTCAGGAGGCTGAGCAAGGCAAGAGGATTGAAAGTTCAAAGCCAGCCTCAACCAAAACAAGGCACTAAGCAACTCAGTGAGACCCTGTTTCTAAATAAAATATAAAATAGGGCTAGGGATGTGGCTCAGTGGCCAACTGCCCCTGAGTTTAATCCCCAGTACCACACACACACAAAAAAAAAAAAAAAAAAGAAAGGGAGATAATCATCCAGGTGTGCTAGTGCACACCTCTGGAGGCTGAAGCAGGAGGACCTCAAGTTCAAAGCCAGCCTCCACAACTTAGCAAGGCCTAAGTAACTGAGAGAGGTCCTGTGTCAAAATTTAAAGAAAAAGGGCTGGGGATGTTTCTCAGTGGTTAGCACCCCTGGATTCAATGCCTGGTACTTAAAAACTTAAAGAGATAATCAAAGGAGATTAATTCTTCCCTTTCTTCTCTGCAGTAATCATATATAACAAATAATATAGGTGTAATAATTTAAAAACAACAAGCCAGTTTAATAAACATGCTTAATCCAACATTTTCTTTTAAGAAATGTAAACTAATGCCAAGTATGGTAGCACACACCTGTAATCCCAGCAACATGGGAGGCTGAGGCAGGAAGACCACAAATTCAAGGCTAGCCTCAGCAATTTTGTGAGGCCCTAAACAATTTGGCAAGTTCCAGACTCAAAATTTAAAAAAACGGGGGGCTTGAGATGCGGCTCAGTGGTTAAGCACCCATGGGTTCAATCCCCGGTACCAAAAAGAAAAAGAAAGAAATGAACCTAAGCTCAGTTGGAAATATATAGAGAGAAATTAGGAGATAGAGTAATACCAGTTTTGCTCCTAGGACCAATGATAGGCTTATCTTCTCTTAGTGGCTCTGCTGAGGAAGGACTATTACAATTTTCACCATATAAGGAAAGGGGAGACATCTGGGAACTAGAAGACAAATCCAACTCCTCCTGCAGCAAAATAAAAACAAACAATTTAATGCAGAAGAGTATAATCCTTAAGCATAAATTTGCTTAATAAGAGAGGCGACATCCATATATAAATAGAAAAATTCTTCAAAGGCAATTTCAAGGCAAAGAAGTGATATACTAGAAACTACATGCTAAATACTAAGTGACTGTGGATAAGTCAACATTATCAATCAATACCAAAGGAAAACTAACTCAAAATGTGGAGTATGGGGCTGGGGTTGTAGCTCAGTGGTAGAGTGTTTGCCTTGCATGTGTGAGGCCCTGGGTTCGATCCTCAACACCACATAAAAACAAATAAATAAATAAATAAAGACATTGTGTCCATATACAACTAAAAAAAAATTTTTTTTTAAATGTGGAATATGTCTATGCCATCCCCTTATATTAAAGAAATAAGCTAGGCCCGGTGGCACATGTCTGCAATCCCAGTGGCTCAAGAGGATGAGGCAGAAGAATTCCAAGTTCAAAGCCAGCCTAAGCAACTTAGCAAGGCACTAAGCAACTCAGTAAGACCCTGTCTCTAAATAAAATACAAAATAGGACTGGGGATGTGGCTCAATGGTTGAGTGTGCCCCTGAGTGCACTGTAGCATAGGCCTATAATCCCAGCAAAGGTGGGATTACAAAGGTGATAAATAATAGAAAGTGAAAAAGATATTAAGCCTAATAAGAGCTTAATATATTAATATACAAGGAATTCTTTCAAATAAACAAGAAAAAGACAACAACAGAAAAAATATCAAAGAACAGGAATAAACAATTTATAGCAGAAGTCCAACGCTAACGAGAATGTAAATAAATGTCAAAAATGATTAGTAATCCAAGAAATGCAAATTAAAAAAAGGTTCAACATCTGTCAAAAATTAGAAAATCAGACAATGTCAAGCATTATCAGAGAAGTTACAGGGATACTCAAGCACTGCTGACTGGCCTGCAGGGTACTACAATGACCTTGTAGAACCATATGGAAGGAAGCACATGTCAAATTAAATATCTATACATCCTGCCATCCAACAACTCTACTCTTGGGCATACATCCCAAAGGAATTCTCACACTGGCCCACAAGTGTGACAATATGTATTGTGATGTACGTAAAATGCAGTAAACATATACTTGAAATGTGCAAAGTTAGATGCAACAGATTTGATATATAGATAATTAATATTATGAATTAATATTAACATAGTGCTAATTTTTAAAAATAAATAGTAGAAATAGGTCTAAATAGTACCATTTATGTAAATTTAAAATATGGGAATAAAATTGAAATCAGTGAGAAAAAGAACTTTTTAATAAATGATACCAGAATAAACTTTTTTTTTTTTTAAACCCCTGGTACTCTACCACTAAGCTATATCCCCAGCCCTTTTTATTTATTTTTTTATCTTGAGAGAAGGTCTCACTAAGTTGCCTAGGCTGGCCTCATTGTAAACCACTAGACGTATTATAGCTTTTTTTTTTCTTTCTTTTTTTTTTTGGTATCAGGCATTGAACTCAGGGGCACTCAACCACTGAGCCACATTCCCAGCCCCCTATCTTGTATCTTATTTAGAGACAGGGTCTCATTGAGTTGCTTAGCACCTCGCCATTGCTGAGGATGGCTTTGAACTCGGGATCCTCCTGCCTCAGCCTCCTGAGCTGCTGTAATTACAGGTATGCACCACCAAGCCCGGCCTGGATTATAGCTTAATGGTAAAGCACCTCTGGATTCAATCCCCAATACTGGAATAAAAACAAAAAGTAAATGAAATGAACATAGCATCACTTCTGCAACATTCTTGCCATGGATACAAAAACCTGAATCCAGCCCTTAGAAAATATCAAACAAATCTAACTGAGGGATACTCTACAAAATATATATAACCTATGATCTCCAAAAGAGACAAGGTCATGAAAGTCAATGAAGAATGAATAACTATTTCAGACTGAAGGAAATTAGAGACAAGACAATCCAATATGACTCCAAACTGGATCCTTTTGCTGGTCTAAAGGACATCACTGGGACAACTGATACACTTTAAATAGGAGCTGAAGATTAGATAGTAATGTATCAATGTTTATTTCCTGATTTTGAAGCCACATTGTTGCAATATAAAAAATATTTTGGCTTATAGGAAGGAGACATTAAAGTATTTGGGGAGACAGGGCATCAGACTGGCAACTTACTCTTAAATAGTTTAGTGAAAAAATCGTGTAATGTACTTGCAACATTTCTGTAAATCTGAGATTATTCCAAACAAAAAAATCAATATAAGCAAGAAAACAAGAATAAAAAACTAATGAATTCTTATATAACCTAAGTGGTGAAAACCCTGTTTTGAGTTGGGAAGGAGGGGACAATAAAGGCCAAACCCAGTGGCATGCACCTGTAGTCTGTTACTCAAGGTTTATGCCAGAAGATCAGTTGAAACCCAGGAGTTCAAGGCCAGCCAGGACATCTTAGAAAGACTCTATCTCACAAAAAAAAAAAAAAAAAAAAAAAAGGAATATCACATAGAAAGGAAAGGAAAAGTCAATAGGCCAATCAATAACTTGTCTATCAAAAAAGTACACCTAGGGGCTGGAATTGTAGCTCATTCGTAGTGCGCTTACCTTAACTAGCATGTGTGAGGCACTGGGTTTGATCCTCAGTACCACATAAAAATAAACAAACAAAATAAAGGTCCATCAACAACTAAAAACATGGGTTTTTTTTGGTTTTGTTTTTTTTTTTTAAAGCACACCTAAGGAAAACATATAACAGAAATAAAGTTAAAAACAAATAACAGGGTATACAACATGCTGTTATGTAAGAAAGGACAGAAAAGACAAAACCAACAAACAGACTTTTATGAATATACAATATTATGTACTTCTGACTCCAAAAGCAAATTACATTTTTTAAATATTAAATCATTTGGAGAAATTACGGAACCATAGAGTACTTCCTTCTAATAGTGGCAATCAAAGGAAACTTTCAGACACTAAGTAATTTTTGAAGTGGGTCTTAAAGGATGACTTTTCTGAAAGAACAAAAATAGGGCTATTTTGTGGAGAAGAAAAAGAATGGGCAGAAATCTAAAACTGGAATAGCAGAGATCTCACTATTCTTATTCACTGCCAGTGTCAGAGACAGCTCCTAGAACAGCTGGTGAATGAATGGAACACACTGATGCTTTCAGGCAGGAATTCTTCCAGGGTTTAAGATCAGCGTGAAAGCAGGAGAGACAGTAAGAAAGAAGACTGGAAAGCTAACCATGGGTCAGATAATAGAGGCCCTAACACACCAGGAATCTGAATTTCATCCTGTAAGGGTTGGGAAGCTGTTAAAAGGTTTTACAGCAAAGGAATGACATGGTCAAGTTTGTGCTTTTGAAGGATTTCTCTTTGAGGATTATTACTCTGCTAAGAAAGGTTCAGGAGTTTGGGAGACAGAGTACCAGTTAAGATCCTATTGACTTAATCCAGATAAGATGACGAAAGCCTGGTAGGAGCAAAAAAGAATCCTGAAGTCATAAGGTAGATAGAATCATCAGAATTTAGTAGTTGAAGAAATACAGAGCCTACCAAAATAAAGATGCCTCAATTTAAAGCAAAGAAAATATACTGAAGTGTTAACTCGATTCTTCTTCTTGTATCTTCTCTTTTCCCATTACCAAAATCAGGTACTTCCTTTTCTTGACATCATGGCTTTTATCTTGAGGGAGAACAAAAGCAATAGGAGCTACAGGACTTTTGTAAAAACCTTAGCCCATTCAAAAGATAGTGTTAGGCATTCCTAAACTAAAGAGATAATTCTAGGTTCTATGACCAAGTACCTATAAAAGTCTGACAATCTTACGTTCTTCCATATCCTAAAGAATACATATCCTAACGGAGTAGAGAGGGATGCAAGAAGTAAACAAACAAAAAAAATACTGGTAAAACTCAAATGAAATTATGGAGGCAAGAACATAAAGACTAACAACTTTCTAGCTCCCAGAAGGTCTTTCCTAAGGAAACATAAGGCTCCTCGTTAGCACTTAGTAAATGTTAAACTGCCCCCTCCCACTTGATGCATATATTTTCCAAATAACATTATAACCCAAATCATGTAAAAGATTGGCTACTTACCGGAACATGCTGAGTTGAAGAACAAGAGTCCACTGACTGAGGAGATGAGACTGAACAACTTGAGGAAGCTGGAGAAAGTGGCTGAGGTTCTGTCTTAATATCTTTAACTGAAAAATATGAAGTGAATTTTTTTTTCTCACTGGACAATACAAACTCAGAATAAAATCAATGAGAAAAAAAGGTAAAATCTACTTTCAAAATTCAATCATATGGGGCTGGGGTTGTGGATCAGTGGTAGAGCACTTGCCTAGCATGTGCGAAGCACTGGGTTCGATTCTCAGCATCACATTTAAATAAATAAAATAATGGTCCATTGACTACTAAAAAAAAATGTTTTTAAATCAATCATATATGGAAGTTAAGGTCACCAAAATATATTATTAAATGAAAATGCAAGATGCAGAAAATGGCATAGTAGTAAGCCTCCAATCATATAATAAGTTGTGTATGTGTAAATGTATACACTGCATCTGTATCCTTTGAAAGAGTAAAGAAGAAACTGATGACCATGGTTGTTGTCTCTGAGGTGCAGAACTGGTTGGCTGAGAAATAAGTGCAGAAGGAGACATTTTTCTTCTGTATAAACTTTTGTATCTTTTGGATGTTATACCATGTTCAAAAAATGAAATCCATTTCCCCAATTTTTTAAACCCAAGAAAAAGGAAAGAATCATTTTTAAAAGTATTTTGACAAAACAATTAAAACTCACAAAAAATATCTCTTGAACTATTAATTTACCTTATAAAAAATTTACTGAGCAACTATAGCCCAGGCAATATTCCAAAGGGCCAAAGATACCACAGAATCGGGGATGACAGACAGTGTTTTCCAAAGCCACAAAATATCTACTGTCCGTCATGATCATCTATAATGTGATTTTGTCACTTTCCTAGCAAGAAGCAGAGTCTAGGCTGAGCACAGGGGTTCACACCAGCTACTTGGAAGCTTGAGACAGGTGGATGGCAAGTTTGAGGCTAGCCTCAGCAATTTAGCAAGACCCTGTTTCAAAATAAAATTTTAAAAAGAACTATGGATATAGCTCAGTGGTAGAGTACTTGCCTAGTATATATGAAGCCAAATTCCTGACCCATAGACTCTGGGAACTTAATAAAACAGTTTTTAAACTGCTCAGATTTAGAGTAGTTCACTATACAACAGCAACCAGAACACTGACTTTGTGTCTCCCATATTCTATAAGGGAAAACAGGCATTGAGCAAGATAAATACATACATAAAAGGAAGGGAAATAGGAAGGATAAGGGGCTAAGGAAGAATTTAGATGCAGTAATGTGCTGGTTATTTATCCATTGTCTCTCCACTCTGAGTCTACCTCCTATAATCTGTAATGCAAATTATTATATATTTCCCAGTTGGCTTCCTTTTAGTTCCAGTTAACAGAGGATACTGGATAGGTGCTAGAAGGTAGCAGAAAATATTTCTTTATTTTCCTGTGAGCTTTACTCCATCATTGGCAGTCTGCTCCAGGTTCCAGCACACTGAACCCTACCTCATTGAGCTCCCTTAAAGATGTTAACATCAGCCAAGTGGTACAATCTTCTTAGAGGTATGTACACCAATTACATGAGATTCCCCCAACAAATTCCTAGGTTCTGATAACCCCAACCTCTTCTCTTTGATTCCCTAAGTCCTGTATGGTTCCTAAATGGGTTAATCTCTTATAGAGATATTTATTATTCATAATTTGAATCAATATTTCTATTTCTAATATGAATTATTTATTCATTATTCTACTGAAACATTATTATGAAATTCTTTATATTCATTTTGGCAAGAAATTCATTTATACATTGTCATATCAGAAGTAGGAATACATGCTTCCTGGAATCTTTTACCCCACCAAAGTAACCCACCTAATTTCAAGTATTACCAAACTATAAAATAAATGGTCTAGTTAACATTTTTATCAACAAAGCACATTATTACCTGTACAGAATTGGTTGTTGATGGTCCAAATGTCTGATTCCCAAGGCATCAAATCCAAATCAAAATCAAGATGATCAAAGTTATTTTCCTGTAGGTTTCAAATCAGTAAAAGAATATTATAATAAAAGAAACACAACTTGAAATCAAACTATCAAACACAATTTGCCATAAATAATATAATTGCTATTACCAAACCTAGCAAAAAAGAATTTTCCAAGTCAACTGGTTCATCTTGAGACTACATCTTAGAGAGTCTAAAGATAAACCAATTAAGTTATTTAAAACACAGTAATAAATTAGAAAGGAGGTACCAATTCCAAAAAGCTTTAGCTGGATTTATTCTTTTCTGTGGGAACAGACCATTAAAAGAGTCATAAAATGTGTCTTTTGTCATAAGGGAGCTCCAACAAAATAGGTTTTCCCATTGCATTAAGGAAAACAAGTCCAAACAAAGGGCTTGTTCCTCATATCATCTCTACATACAAAGGAAAGAATACACATATACCAAAAAAACACAGAAGAATCATAAAGAGAGTAACTTACCACAGGGTAATTCTATCTTTTACTACTGTTCTGTGCTTTTCAAATTTCTAAAATTTTATGAATTAAAAAATATTTTTTAGTCTTAGGAGATAAAACTTTCAAAGAGGAGTAAACAAACCTCTTAAAGGGGATCCCTCTGTTTCTTTTCATTTAGGTGTTAATTTTTTTTTACTTAAAAATAATGATTTTTATGGATTATCTGGTTGATCACCTTCTAGTGTATATAAAAATGAAAACTGACATGATTTCAGAATCCTCGCATGAATTTGAGATCAAGACAGTACCAAACAGTCTATTTTACAGTGTTTGGCATAAGAGACAACAGCAAAATGGTGGTGGGGGACAGAAGTTCAGTGGAGAAGTCAAAGGGGAACAAAGGGAAAGGAGGGAAGATAGGAAAAGAAAAGACAGTAAATGAATCAGACATAACTTTCATATGTACATATATGAATATACTACAGTGAATCTCACCATTGTGCACAGCCACAAGAAATTAATTTTAAAAAACTATGGATAAATGGCAGAAAGATCAATAGAAGGGAGAAAGAGATTGGGAGAGAGAAGAGGAAAGAGAGGTACTGGGGTCTGAATTAGAACAAGATATATTCCAAACTTTTATAATTATGTCAAAATGGATTCTACTGTCAGGTATAATGAAAAACAAACAATAAAAAAGTAAACAATGTAATAAAGTCAAAAGGCAAACAATAGATGATAAAACAGCTACAACAGAGAAAGTAAGCTATAGACGAAAAGTAAAAATTCATCTAATAATTGTTAACAACCATTTGTTAATAATTTCTCGAACAGTATTATTATATCAAAATATCTATTATATGGTTTATTTTTATTGGGAAAGTAACATAAGGAGAGAATACGAACTTTTTTTTATAATCAGACTGCTCTTTACTGAGTAAATACTGATACAAGGTTCATAAAGAAAATATGTGAAAATTCACATTAAAAAAAAATACTTAGGGGCTGGGGATGTGGCTCAAGTGGTAGCACGCTCGCCTAGCATGCATGAGGCACTGGGTTCAACTGTCAGCACCAACATAAAAATAAAATAAAGGAGATCCAACATGGCGGCAGGCACAGAGATATCAAGTCTCTGACCTCTCCAGCTGCGCGGGCATAGGGAGTCTTAAATCATCTAAATGCTGTTTGCTCAAGATCACTAGGCATTGCTGAGCTAACGTGGATCTGGGGCGAATAGCCTGCTCCTCTCAGAACACACACCAAGCCCGTAATGGCCGAATTCAGGCTCCCATTCGCCTGCCTCTCGCAGACAAACTGCTCTGGCTCAGTGCTAAATGAACCTGTGGAAACTGCTTGTCCGCCGAATCCTGTGGAGGTAAATACCAACCAAGCCTTCATAGGCAATGGCCACAGGATTGAGACGGGGCTTGGGAGGGCCGGGCAGGACCCACCCGTTGCTTTGGTCGCCTGGCAAAGGGAACGAAATGCTGCCATTCGCATGGGATACCAACATGGCAGAGAACTGACGTCACCAGAACGTGGTGGAGGAGATAACTTCATTGAAACCAGCGGCGGCAGGTGTGTAACCCCCTAGCCCCCCCCTCCACACAGCGGGGAAACCTCAAGGGCCCCTCCCAGCTCTCCCGTGAGCGCGATAGTCAGACCGAGGGATTCAGGAGTGGCACGGGACCCGGGGCGTGGGACCCCCCTGGCTACCGCTCCCACCAGCGCAGACAACTGAGGTCTCTTGCACCAGCTCCCGGGGGCGTGGCTACCGGAGGGCAAGCAAATACGCCGAGGGCTCTCAGCCCCAAGCTCCACAACCTTAGGAGCTGAGGGTTTGGCAAGCAGGGAGAGTGTGCCCAGTTGTTCAAGAAAACAGGGCTCCCGTGAGCGGCAGACCTGGCGTGTAACCAGTATTGTGGTGAGCGTCGCCTGTGAATGGGGCCAGTGGCGAGGTGACTAGACACAAGAAACGGCCAGAGGCACTCAGGAGTGGAGACCCGCCCAGTCGGGGAGGAGGAGCTGCTGCACAGTGATTGGTTCCCGTGCACTGAGAGGAGAAGCCTGGCCCGGTGGGCACAGCTCCACCTACTGGAAGAGAAGTTAATTGAACTCTAAGACTGAATCTTTTAATTTTTTTTTAATTTTAATTTTTTTTTCTTTTTTAATTTTTAAAAATATTTTTGGTATTTTTTTTATTTTTTATTTTCACTTTTTTTGAGTATTTTTTTTAATTTTATCTTTTTTTATTTTCTATTTTTTTCTTTTGTCTTTTCATTTCTTCTCAACTTCCTTATTCCCCTTTCCTTGAATTCTATCTGTTTACTCTCATTCTCTTTAGTGACTTCTTCCCTTCCCTTCTAATACCTTTCCTCCCAAGCAATACGACGCTGTTTATGTGTAATTTACTAAATATGTATAGGTCAATGTTCCGAGACGTTATGTAGTGCTACCAAGACCTTAACTTCCCCCAAGTACTCCAGACCATCCTCCTGTTAATATCCCTCGTCAGTAGAGCAACCTTCCAAGGTTGCCAAGAGATACCAACCTCAATACCACCACATCATTCGACCTAAATATAAGTCCCAAGACCAAACCGCAGACCGTTATATGCCATCAGAATCCGTACACAGTTTAGGAAACAAATGAATCTACACTAAAGTACAACAAAACTCATCATGTCTAGTCATAGTCTCCCATCACAAAAGAGTCACCCCAGAGACACACAAAACCAAATAAATTTATAGGAGTAAACAGTAACTCAGCAGTCAAACAGAGCAAGAAACAACATAAGCAGCATGAAAAAGCAAGGAAGAAAAGGAGTACAAACAATGCAGAACAGCCTAAATATACAGGAGGACCTAGAGGCATCAGAAAAATGGTCAAATAAAGAACTCAAAGAATACCTTAGACAGATGGAATGGAATCTTAAAGAGGATATGAGACAGCAAATTCAAACAATGAAAGAACTCATTGAAAATGAAATACACAAGCAAATAAAAGAAGCAAATAAACATCTTTATCAGGAGATAGAGATTATTAAAAAAATCAAACAATAATTTTAGAAATGAAGGAAACTATAAACCAAATTAAAAACTCAAATGAGAGTATAACTAACAGAGTGGAGCAAGTAGAAGCCAGAACGTCAGATAATGAAGACAAAATAGATCATCTTGAAAAGAGTCTAGCCAACTCAGGAAGGCTGGTAAAAAATCACGAGAAAAACATCCAAGAGATATGGGATAACATAAAAAAAACAAACTTAAGAGTCATCGGGATAGAGGAAGGTATAGAGGTTAAAACCAAGGGAATGAACAACCTGTTGAATGAAATAATTATAGAAAACTTTCCAGACATAAAAAAGGAAATGGATGTACAAATTGTAGATGCATACAGGACACAAAACATACAAAATCACAGTAGACCAACGCCAAGACACATTGTTATGAAGATATCCAATATACAGAACAAAGAGAAAATATTAAAAGCTACAAGAGAAAGGAGGCAGATTACATTCAGGGGTAAACCAATAAGGTTAACAACGGATTTTTCATCACAGACACTGAAAGAGAGAAGATCCTGGAACAACGTATTTCAAACTCTGAAAGACAGTGGATGCCAACCAAGAATTTTGTATCCAGCAAAATTAAGCTTCAGGTATGACAACGAAATAAAAATCTTTCATGATAAACAAAAGTTAAAAAAGAATTTTTTGCAGCCAGAAAACCAGCATTGCAAAGCATCTTGAGCAAAACACTACACGAGGAAGAAATGAAAAACAATAACCAAAACCAACAGTGGGAAGTACCTCAGTAAGCCAGAGAGCAGGGGGAAAGCTAATCATGGAGAAACAAACCAAATTAAAAAAAAAAAAAAAAAGATAAATAATCAAACATGGCTGGAAGTACAAATCATATATCAATAGTAACTCTAAACGTTAATGGCTTAAACTCACCAATAAAGCGACATAGGCTGGTAACATGGATTAAAAAAACAAATCCAACAATATGCTGCCTCCAGGAGACATCTGATTGGAAAAGACATACACAGGCTGAAGATGAAAGGTTGGGAAAAAACATACCACGCACACAGTCCTAGTAAGCAAGCAGGGGTGGCCATCCTCATATCAAATAAAATCAACTTCAAGACTAAGTTAATCAAAAGAGATAAGGAAGGACATTATATACTGTTAAAAGGAACCATTTACCAACAAGACATAACAATTATCAATATTTATGCACCAAATAATGGTGCTGCGACATTCATAAAACAAACTCTCCTCAAGTTCAAAAATCAAATAGACCACAACACAATAATTATGGGTGACTTCAACACTCCTCTCTCACCATTGGACAGATTCTCCAAACAAAAGTTGAATAAAGAAACTATAGAACTCAATATCACAATCAATAACCTAGACTTAACTGACATATATAGAATATATCAACCATCATCAAGTGGATATACTTTTTTCTCAGCAGCACATGGATCCTTCTCAAAAATAGACCATATATTATGCCATAGGGCAACCCTCAGCAAATATAAAGGGGTGGAGATAATACCATGCATTTTATCTGATAATAATGGAATGAAACTGGAAATCAACGATAAAAGAAGGAAGGAAAAATCACACATCTCATGGAAATGAACAATATGTTACTGAACGATCAATGGGTTACAGAAGACATAAAGGAGGAAATCAAAAAATTCTTAGAGACAAATGAAAATACAGACACAACATATCGGAATCTATGGGACACAATGAAAGCAGTTTTAAGAGGGAAATTCATTGCCTGGAGGTCATTCCTCAAAAAAAGAAAAAACCAACAAATAAATGAGCTCACACTTCATCTCAAAGCCCTAGAAAAGGAAGAACAAAACAACAGCAAATATAGCAGAAGGCAAGAAATAATTAAAATCACAGCGGAAATCAACGAAATTGAAACAAAAGAAACTATTGAAAAAAATTGACAAAACTAAAAGTTGGTTCTTTGAAAAAATAAATAAGATCGACAGACCCTTAGCCATGCTAACGAAGAGAAGAAGAGAGAGAACTCAAATTACTAATATACAGGATGAAAAAGGAAATATCACAACAAATGCTACAGAAATACAGAAGACAATTAGAAATTATTTTGAAACCCTATATTCCAATAAAATAGAAGATAGTGAAGACATCGATAAATTTCTTAAGTCATATGATTTGCCCAGACTGAATCAGGAGGATACACACAATTTTAACAGACCAATATCAATGGATGAAATAGAAGAAGCAATCAAAGGACTACCAACCAAGAAAAGCCCAGGACCAGATGGGTATACAGGGAGTTTTACAAAACCTTTAAAGAAGAATTAAAACCAATACTTTTCAAGTTACTTCAGGAAATAGAAAAAGAGGGAGCCCTTCCAAATTCATTCTATGAGGCCAACATCACCCTGATTCCGAAACCAGACAAAGACACCTCAAAGAAAGAAAACTACAGACCAATATCTCTAATGAACCTAGATGCAAAAATCCTCAATAAAATTCTGGCGAATCGGATACAAAAACACATCAAAAAAATTGTGCACCATGATCAAGTAGGATTCATCCCTGAGATGCAAGGATGGTTCAATATACGGAAATCAATAAATGTTATTCACCACATCAATAGACTTAAAGATAAGAACCATATGATCATCTCAATAGACGCAGAAAAAGCATTCGACAAAGTACAGCATCCCTTTATGTTCAAAACACTAGAAAAACTAGGGATAAAAGGAACTTACCTCAACATTGTAAAAGCTATCTATGCTAAGCCTCAGGCTAGCATCATTCTGAATGGAGAAAAATTGAAGGCATTCCCTCTAAAATCTGGAACAAGACAGGGATGCCCTCTATCACCACTTCTATTCAATATAGTCCTCGAAACACTGGCCAGAGCAATTAGACGGATGAAAGAAATTAAAGGCGTAAAAATAGGAAAAGAAGAACTTAAATTATCACTATTTGCGGATGATATGATATTATATCTAACAGACCCAAAAGGGTCTACAAAAAAACTACTAGAACTAATAAATGAATTCAGCAAAGTGGCAGGATATAAAATCAACACGCATAAATCAAAGGCATTTCTGTATATCGGCGACAAAACTTCTGAAACGGAAATGAGGAAAAACACCCCATTCACAATATCCTCAAAAAAAGTAAAATACTTGGGAATCAACCTAACAAAAGAGGTGAAAGATTTATACAATGACATACAATCAATCAACAAGTACATGAAAAAATGCTCACCATCTCTAGCAGTCAGAGAAATGCAAATCAAAACCACCCTAAGATACCATCTCACTCCAGTAAGATTGGCAGCCATTATGAAGTCAAACAACAACAAGTGCTGGCGAGGATGTGGGGGAAAGGGTACACTTGTACATTGCTGGTGGGACTGCAAATTGGTGCAGCCAATTTGGAAAGCAGTATGGAGATTCCTGAGAAAGCTGGGAATGGAACCACCATTTGACCCAGCTATTCCCCTTCTTGGACTATTCCCTAAAGATCTTAAAAGAGCGTACTATAGGGACACTGCTACAACAATGTTCATAGCAGCACAATTCACAATAGCTAGACTGTGGAACCAACCTAGATGCCCTTCAATAGATGAATGGATAAAAAAAAATGTGGCATTTATACACAATGGAGTATTACTCTGCACTAAAAAATGACAAAATCATGGAATTTGCAGGGAAATGGATGGCACTAGAGCAGATTATGCTAAGTGAAGCTAGCCAATCCCTTAAAAATAAATGCCAAATGTCTTCTTTGATATAAGGAAAGCAACTAAGAACTGAATAGAGAGGAAGAGCATGAGAAGAAGATCACCACTAAACAGGGACAAGAGGGGGGAGGGAAAGAGAGAGAGAAGGGAAACTGCATGGTAAAGGAAGGAGACCCTCATTGTTATACAAAATTACATATAAGAGGAAGTGAGGGGAAAGGGGAAAAAAACAAGAGAGAGAAATGAATTACAGTAGATGGGGAAGGGAGAGAAGATGGGAAGGGAGGAGAGGGGAGGGGAGGGAAGGGGAGGGGAGGGGGGATAGTAGAGGATAGGAAAGGAAGCAGGATACAACATACACTACTAATATGGCAGTAGGTAAAAAAGTGGATGTGTAACCGATGTGAATCTGCAATAAGTATATGGGGTAAAAATGGGAGTTCATAATCCGCTTGAATCAAATGTATGAGATATGATATGTCAAGAGCTTTGTAATGTTTTGAACAACTAATAATAAAATAAAATAAAGATATTGTGTCCACCTAAAACTAAAAAATAAATATTAAAAAAAATACACTTAAGTCATGAAAGAACCATCAATCAAATTGATTAAATCAATTTCCTTTCACTTTTTTCTCTTATTTGAACTTACATATCAAAAAAAATTAGGCTGGGAATCTAGCTCAGTTGGTAGAGTGCTTGCCTCGCATGCACAAGGCCCGGGGTTCAATCCCCAGGATCACCACTCAAAACAAAAAAGGGAGCGGGGACAGAGCTTTAAAAAAAATTAAGCAGACTTGTAGCAACCAAAAAATACTTACACTTTCTTAGTAAATTTAATAATGCTGCTGGCCCTCATGCTAGCAGTCCTTTTAAACATGTTCATTGATTGGTATAACTGACTTCACAGATGGTTCTGACTTGATCAGTCTTCAACCAAAAAGTCAAATACCTTCTACAACAAAAGAATTCTATCTGGTTGGAAATGTAACAGGCCCATTTCATGTGAGATAAAACACATTAGCACTTATGACTTATCAAGGGAAATTCTTCCATCATGTAGAAGAAGGAAGATATACCAGGACCCTAAGAAATCATCTAATCCAATTCCTTCATGTTATAATGGAAAAATTAAGGAATTGACTTTGAGCAACTTCCATAATGTAATAAAATGTGAATTATAAAATCAGAATCATATTTCCCAGAAATTTTCAAATTTAACACACCATTTCTTGATAATATTTAAAAGAAACAGTATCTAGAAGGTTTTTTTTGGTTTGTTTGTTTGTTTGTTTACAGTACTAGGGATTTAACCCAAAAGTGCTCTATTACTGAGCCCGTTTATTTTGAGATTGCCCAGGCTGGCCTGCAACTTGCAAACCTCCTGCCTCCTGAGTAGCAGGGATTATAGGTGAACACCACCATGCGTGGCAGGACCAAGAGGTTATGAAAGAAACAGAGTTGCTTAGTCCACCAGCCAATAAGAAAAGTCAATTTAATCAGCAGGTCATAATCTATAATATCTCAAAGAGTAAACAAAACCATTAAAATCCCACACGCTGATTTTTAAAAATATAACATGAGTTTCTTTCTCTTCTCTTGATTCATAGTAAAACAATTCTAAGTCATTCTTTGAGATATATCTGAAATTTACTGGGTAAGCATATATATTTTTATACTCATGTTAATAAGAGCTTAAAAAATAGTGATATTCAGCCAGGCATGGTGGCACATGCCTGTAATCTCAGTGGCTCAGGAGGCTGAGGCGGGAGGATCATGAGTTCAAAGCCAGCCTCAGTGACTTAGTAAAGCCCTAAGCAACTCAGCAATACCCTGTCTCTAAATAAAAAAGGGCTGGGGATGTGGCTTATTGGTTAAGCACCTCTGAGTTTAATCACCAGTATCAAAAAAATAAATAAATAAATAAATAAATAAATAAAGTGATATTCAACCTGATTGATAAATTACTGTGCTCACTTGAATTACTTCCCAAGTACAGCAGCATCTCATTCATTATACAGAACAAGACAAAGTTAAAAATTTCATAGGCTAATCAACTTCATACGTACTCATCAAGAAGAGGAAAAAGAAAATTTAAGAAATTTTTGAGAACTGAAGGTATTACTATCATAGCTTTTACATAGACTTCTAAATAATCAAAGGCAAAAAATAAGGATATACCTAATTTTCAGTTTTCTACAGTAAGAATATATAACTTTTAAAAAAGAAGTTGGTAAGTTCTACTTGACGGGGTCCATGACTCACATAAACCCCTTAATATCACACCAATTCCCTTATGCAGTAAAGTATTTCTAAAAACAAGAAGTGAGCCATTAAGTGACTTTTCCAAGGTTACCCACACCTAAAGCCAAGCTTAGAATACAAGTCTTCCCATACCAAGATCAATGAAATTGTACTGTCCTATTTACTAACTACAAAATGACTACTTTCATACTTGATCATGAACATCATTTAAATTTAAATTATTAGCCTAAACCAGTTATCCTGAAACCTTCTTGCAATAATTAGGGTGAAAATCAAACATCACATTATTCATCATTCCTCCTCTAACAAACACTTACATAAGTCTCATTTATTGCATCCAACTGCAGATCATCAGTGTCTGTGAAATAACCAAGTTCAGCAAACAGGGTAGAATCTTTAAACAAAAGAAGAGAGATTAATTGTTAATTTAATGATCTGACAAGAGAATAAACACTGTATCTGTTACTCCAGCTTTGCTAGGATTTCTCATTAGCCACTACTCTTATTGATAAATTTGAGTCACGTGAATGACAAACAATTCAAAGCTAGTTTCAACATTATATGCATTATATGCATTATTTTCCATATAATTTTCATCTTATAGACTAAATCCTTACACTAGGAATTCAAAAAGGCTTTTTATAGTACGTCATGTTGGAATAACTGGCAGTAACTTTCTGGAACATTACAAACAAAAATAGTGATGATACCTCTGGGCTCAGCACAAAAAAATAATGTGGTTGATCAGCAACGATACTTGGAGAGGATTGTGGAAAATATACATGCATTGTGTGTTTGCCATCTCTGCCTTCAGTTAAGTGTACAAGCAATTTTCTTATCTAGATAATAAAAATTGGTCTAGGACTGGTTGTGTAGTACACACTGGTAATCCAACTGACTTGAGAGGCTGCAGGAAGAGTTTAGCAATTTAGAGAGACCTTCTCTCAAAAAAACAAACAAAACAGGACTGGGGATATAGCTCCATAGTAGAGCACTCCTGGGTTCAATCCCCAATACTTCCCCCCGAAACACACACACACAAAGTTGATGTAGAATGTAGCTCAGTGGTGGAGTGTTTGCTTAGCATGTACAGACCATGGGTTCAATAAGCGGGGGTGGGGGGATTCATTTCAGCAATCTGAACTACATCCCAAGTTTTTAATGAGGCTTAATTATAAGAAAAATATGAGTATAGAAAAGACTCCTCAAGTCAGGCATGGTGACACACTCCTGTAATCACAGCAACTCAGAAGGCTGAGACAAAAGAGATTCACAAGTTTGAGGCCAGCCTAGGCAACTTAGGGAGACCCTGTCTCAAAATAAAAAAGAAAAAGGGCTGGAAATGTAGCTCACTGATAAAGACCCCCTGGGTTTAATCCCTAGTATGGGAAAAAAAGAAGAAGAAAGAAAACAATTCTTCAATAAACTAGATTGAAATTTTTGTAGAAAAAGATCAAGGCCCAAGATGACTGATCAACATATAATCTGTAAAGTTTTCTCTAACACTTTCAGAATTTCAAAGGCTTTGAGGAGGTTTCCAAATCTAGGTCATTTGAGCTGGGCACGGTGGGGCATGCTTGTCATCTCAGCTACTCAGGGAGGGTGAGACAGAAGAATCTCAATTTAAGGTGAGCCTAGGTAACAGCAAGACCCTAACTCAAAAAGCAAACAAACATATCTAGGTCCTCCTGTATATTCTATTACCACACCACTGAAACTGCTCTGGTCATTTCCTCACTATACATGTTTATAAATTATACTGCCAGCCTATTACTTTCTTGGCCAATGACAAACATTTTACCAAATTAAAATAGTAACTAGTTATTTCAAAATCAGGAATAAAAACTGTCTTTTCCTGCATAAAAATTAAAGGTGGGTTTGTTTTTTAAAAAATAAATAAATAAATAGTAACTAGTAAAAAACTGTATATATAGTAAGTTATTACTATGTGTAATTATCAAGGTATGTGTGCATTAGCAAGGTACACGCAATAATAATACAACTCTAAGAAACAGATACCTTAAACTCAGCTCCAGAGCTGATAAACTAAGTAGGTGACTGTGGCTATATGACCATACAGGTAGGCTGAAACTCCTTGAGAGTTTCTCCATGTCCTCTGTCTCTCATTTCTTTCCTCCCATTTGATTTTGAACCTGCTCCAATCAGGTTCCTCCCTACACACACAAACACACACACACACACACACACAATTAATGTCACCAATGACTTCCATATGTTAAATTAAATGGTAAATTTGTAGTATTCAAATTACCTGACCTATCAACAGCAATTGACACAGTAGATCCTTTCACATTAAATGAAACATTTCTTCACTTAGCTTTCCAAAATACATTAACCTTGTTTTTCTCCTGTCTCATTTGTTGCCCCTTCCTTAATGGGTCCTCATCTCCCAAACATGAACTTGTCCCTGAGCTTACACAGGGACTTTGAGAAGCTGCTTTTGCTAAAAGCACTAACTCTTTACTTAAGTCTGCAGATGCCAGTGGCAGGATAAATCTTGGCATCTCTGCCTTTATTTTGAATCTGTCTCCTTTATTACCTTCAACTTTGGGTCAGGTTCCTATTCAGTTCTCATAGCTTTAAATAGCATCTATATGCCAAACATTCCCAAATATATATTCCCCACACTTCAAGAAACGTGGACACATGGAATATTGTTATCTCCTATTGTGTGTTTGAAAGGCATCTCAAATTTCACACATCCCAAACTGAGCTCCTGATCACCTCCATTAAACAATAGTTCTATCTTCATCTCAGTTAATGACAAGTCAATTCTCCCAGTTGCTCAGGCCAAAAACCTTGGAATTATTGTCTATTCTCCCATTTTGCATTCAATCTACCGGCAAATTCTGTCAGCCTTATATTCAAAATATAAATCCATAATATGGCTTCCTTCCAATTCCTTCCATTGTTCCTTCGCTTCCTGTCCATATCCCTCCTAATAAAGAGAAGTCAGCTTCAGAGGAAGTAGAACAACGAGAGTGATGGGGTTTTGTACAGTGTACCTGGTATACAGAGAAATGGGATTGATTGTATGGGAGAAGGGGAAGTGGCAGCATGTTCCAGCCACCAATGAAATGGGATTAGTGGGAGAGAGAACAGAGTGGCAGATGGAAAAGGCAGCCTGAGTAGTTAGCAGAGTAAGTACATTTAGCAATATATTTAACTGGCAGAGCAAATGATTAAATCTAAAATAACTCGAGTCTGATTTCTCCTTGTCTAAAAAAGGAATTAAAAACATGGAAAAGGGAAAGATTAAAAGAACCATAAGCAGGAAGAAAAGAGAAGGTACTGGAGAATAAAACTGATCATTATTATGTTATACGCATAAATGAATATGGCATAATGAATCTCATTATTATGTAAAATTATAATGCACCAATTAAAAAATAATTATTTATAAAGATGTAGTATAGGTCAGTTCAGCAAACAAGCAGATTGAGGGAAAGAGGAGAGGAGAGGAAGGGAAGGGACTGGGGAAGGTGACTGACCTTATTTTAAGTGCATATCCAAATATTGCATAATAAATCCCACTATTACATATAACTAAATGCACCAATAAAAAATTAGTTTTAAAAACGAAGCAGAAAAACAAAAGAACAGTCTAGAGGTAAAGCACACTTTGGATTTTGAGACTAGTGAGAAAAAAGAATGCAAAATATCTTATTAGTTTTTATTTTTATTATGTGTGTTGAAATGCCAACATTGTAGATACAGTAGGTTAAATAAAATATTTTCAATTTAAAAAAAATACCATAAGGGCTGGGGCTGGGGCTCAGTGGCAGAGTGCTTGCCTGGCATGCATGAGGCACTGGGTTCGATCCTCAGCACCATATAAAAATAAAATGAAGGTGTTGTGTCCACCTACAACTAAAAAAGAAAATAATAATAAAAAAAGATGTTGGGGTGGAATTGGAAGTATTAGTAAATGAACTCTTTTAAAAATATATACATACACACACAGGTAGTTACAGATGTTTGGATATGTGTGTTAACATATACATACATACATTTCTTAGTTCTGTTTATTAAGTGGTTCTACCAACAATGACATTTCAGTAGCAATAAAACAATAGTGGAAAAAAAAAAAACTATTATGTGGCCAGGCATGGTGGCACACACCTGTTGTAATCCCAGCGGCTAGGGAGACTGAGGCAGGAAAAACACCAGTTCAGAGCCAGCCTCATCAAAAGCAAGGCACTAAGCAACTCAGTAACAACCCTGTTTCTAAATAAAATACAAAATAGGGCTGGAGATGTAACTCAGTGGTCGAATGCCCCTAAATTCTATCTCCAGAACCCCCCGCCAAAAAAAACTATTGTGTGCCCAGTTCTTGGATACAAAATACCATCTGTTGAGAGCCATCCATGGGTTGTGTGTGGACTATTGCAATCCATGGGCTGTGTGTGGACTGTTGCACATCACAGCCTAATAAACAGGTGTCTGGGAACTTCCAGTGGACATTTCCTCTGGTTGCTGCCCAGACCCATTGTGAGCTCTGCCAAAGGTCCCACACAGTACTCGAGATGGGATGACCTGCTATAACCACGCAGGCACACAGCCCTTCTGAGATGGGTGTGACCTGCCAAGATGCCAATCAATCTGCTGACTATAAGACATCAAAAGCAAGACTCCACCCTTGAAACCTTACCCCTGCCTTTGATGTACCTCTTAAATAAACAACAGGAGCCATTTTCTAATTGTCTAGCTCCAGCTCCTGTGTGGACTGGACCTATCAGGTGTTCCAATCCTTTAAACCTAATTCTGACTTTGTCTTTTGTTCTTTACTAATTATTCTAGACTTTTATTTCTTAGGTGGCTTACACCCTCCTTGGCAGGAAGAAGAACCCCTGCCTCCCCATAACCATCCTCCACTAAACCCAAGCTCTTTGGACAAATGGTTGATTCCAGAGCTGAAACAGAGAAAGTGCAAAATAACCTGAAAAAATCTTGTTGTGTTAGGAAATAAGGAAATTCTCAGTGAATAACAGGACTATATCAAAAGATCAAAGACACCAATATAAATGGACTCCTAGAGGTCAAATCTGGGAAAGTCTGCACAATAAAATAAGGGTATCAGATTACAACACACTGAACCAAAAAAGGAATCAATAAATCAGAAAGAGAAAGAGGGAAATAAAGAAAGAGAGAGGGCTCTTTCTTACAGTACAAGTATTACTTGCAAATTAATGAATGTAGACAGAATGACAGAGATAGATAATTCCCATTTAGCAACCATTAGAGCAGTAGGAAATACAGACTGGAATTACTGATGAAGCTAAAGTTGGTGGGTAGAGATTTAATAAGAATAGGAGCCATTTTGACTGAGCAACCATAGTGACAGGAGCCAAAGCAGCAGCGCAGGTTGTCCCC